ACAGTCAAGCCCGTGTGCTTCTCATAACTTACTGCCAAGACCAAAGGAGATCTCTCCTAGTGGGAGCGTGGGAGTGCAGCCCTACTGCTTCCCTTTGTCTTTCTGCCTGTGATCTTAAAAACTGCTCTTTAATCAAACGGCTTTGGCACTTCACGGTAAACCTGAGGGCAGTGGGATCTCCTCTCAGGAGTGAGAAGGAAAGGGGAAGCACTGAGGACTCCTCTCCTCTTTCTCCTTAGCCATCATGCAGCCAAGTTCAATGGCTGGTCCCAGTGGTGCAGTGGAAGTAGGGCTGTCTGCCCCAGGGCCTTTCTTGCGCTGCTGCTACGTGTGCGGAGCCAGTGGTAGCTACTCGTAGGAGCTGCCGCTGTCAGGCTGGCATTGCAGGGCTTTGTTCAGGGCAAGAGTTGATGGCAGGAGTGCAGTGGGCTCAGTTAATCCAAGCCAGTGCAGAACAAATGAGTCTCTAGAACGAATTAAAGGAAAATAGCTGTTGGTCTTGAAAGTCTCACCTAGCCTTCAAGCTGCTTCCCACAGGTGGCCCAAGCTTGCAAACTCCTTGTAGCTTTTCAGGGAGTATTTCTGAGTTGGCTGCTGTGGTTCCTGTTCTTTGACAGGAGATCAAATGCACTGTGATAAAGAAGAGGGGAGTTGTTGGTGTGGTGTGAGGAGGAAGAGCACACAAAACCCACCTTATAGTCAAGAATTGGATAAAGAAACTTGGAGGAAAGTCCCAGTTCGGCCTGAAACAGCTAGCTCAGCAGAACAGGCAGGGAGAGATCCAAGATGCTGGTCCCAGCTGGATGGTTCGTTGTCTCCCAGTAGGCAGCAGTTCTGCTTCATGCTGGATAAACCTGTCTCTTAGCCAGCATAAATATGGGGAAGGGGGCAAGTTAGCTCCCTCATGTCAAAGAAAGAAAATGGAATTGGAGTTCAGCTTTTGGAAAAAAAAAGTTATGCTCCTTGTTCTCTTTTTATTGTAGTTTCAAAGGGATTAGATAATTATATGAAAAGAAATAAGTCTTCTGTGCTACTTCTGAACTGTTTCTTCCATGCTTAACCTTCAAAAGGAAACAAAAAGTCCAGGAAAAACAAATTCCACTCATCAGAATTTTGAAGGCACAGAACATTTGAGGTCAATAGAAGAACCTTCAAAAACTTGGTTCCCAAGATGTTTGGGCAAAAACAGTTACAAAACAAATTCCTACCACAGCTTCCGAGGTCAGAGCAACTCCAGCTCTGGGAGGGCCCAAACTACTGGCTTAAGAATGACATACAGTGTGTGACTCCTGAGTAAAGTTGCTGTAATTATCTGCTTGCTATGGATAAGGATGTGGAAGCAAGTGACCTCTTCAAGGCCACTCAGAAAAGCAGAGCTGCTGAATCGAGGTGGCAGCAGCAGCTCCAGAAACGAGTATAGTTCTTTTGGGACTCTCTTATCTTGTGCATAAGATCCTGCTGCCTAGTGAAATTAGCCTAATACATGGTGGTGCTCCTACCCACGGGCTTAAACAGTAGTGGAAAGAATAGTGTGGAGAGCTTTTCTCTTTCCCAGTATCTTTGAGTAAGACCCAGAACAACAACAACAGAAGAGACCAAAGAGTGTGGAGCAGTGAAAAATGAATGAAAACAGGGTGTGTAGGCTAATGATTCCATTAAGTAATGGCACATGATTATGGAGAGCTGTCGTAAGTCACTACTGTCACAATACACCTAGGGCTGTGGAGGCTCTGCATGAAAGCTTCCATGCAGGGCCTGACATTCTTCTCCTCTGCGGCAACGGCTGCCTTAATTGTTTGATTAATGAACTCATTAAATCCCAGTATTACTAGAAAAAGCATATTGACCTCCTGACCAATCACAACTAAAACGTAAATGCGGCTTATTCAAGACACTGGTTAGCCATCTATTTAAGCAGCAAAAGAGCATAAAACCCAGCTTTGTGCTTTAGGGATTTCACTTCACCCACTAGATCTGGATGTTAGGAGAATGTCACACAATTGCAGGTGGAGGCCTGCCTGCAGCAGTACCTACAATTACAGCAACATTTGCCTGGTTATTAAGATTATAACCGGTCTGGAAAAACAATCCTCCACTGAATCAACAGCAAGAGACTGCAGGTGACTCCACCGGAGTTAAGATTTCACCCTGCATCATCACCAGGCACAACAGTGTCATTAAGTTCGGTGCGTGTACTGAGCACAGCTCAAAGTTACACATCTCCGAAGGTGTTGTGGAGAAAAACACCAGGAGATGTTTCTCCCAGGCTGCAGTGCCCACCGCTGCACTCTTTTCTGGTTCTCTTATGGCTGCATGGTGTCTCTGCAAGGCAAGGTGTGGACACGCATTCTCACTTCTGTGCTTTGTTGGAAAGTACATCATCGTACAATAGTGGCGTACTTCAGCTATAGTTGTGTTGCTTGATACACAGCTATAGCGCTATTTCACTGCCCCAGCTCATGATTTTTGTGTGACTGGTGTCATCATGGCAAACCCTTTGTTTGGAAACTTGGAACAAACACCTTTGACATGTGTCATTGACATTTTTATGTCCAACAGGAACTGTAGCTCCACGGATTAGATGAGATGAGTTAAGAGGACAGAGTTGTCACCTGTAAGCCAAAATTCAAGAGGATTTACCTGAAAACATTTTAGGTAGATGTATTCACCATGTTTTCTGCAGCAGACCAAAATATCCACATTCTGGGCTTTCAGCAGATGTTATAGGAAACTGTAGTTAGTGTCTTTGAGCTGCCAGGTCAAAGCATGTCAAGGTCTGAATCAGATTTGGCGTTCAAGGTCTCGCAGTCGCTTCAGACGGCTGGTCACTGTTGCAGAAGGGAAAGGTTTAATCGCTGCTTGTGCTATTGTGTGGGCTACTATAATTTGCCTCCAGATCTGCAGAACTGAAGGAAACCTGGAGGTATCCACCACCAGCCCTGGCGTGGTGAATGTAGAGATTTCTCTTCCCTTCACCTCTCACCTAGAGCTCAAGCACCAGAGGACTGAATGACTTTCAGGTTCCTAAAGCTCAGTGTGGTTCACCAGCTTCCCAGTTTTCCCTACCTGAATAGCTGCTGCCTCCTTTATCATAGGACCTGAGCAGCCAGGGCTTTTGACTGAGTAGCTCCCAAAGATCTGCCTGTCATTCTTACTCCATGCACAGCAACCCTCAAGGACAAGGCCCCATCTTAGATTTTGGCATGTACTACACAGCCTGGATAGCATGGGCTTTTAGAATAGATTTATATTAACAAAGTGCACCAATGACAAGGAAACTGTTCAGAAGATTTTCTCCTTAGCCTGTGAGAAGGATCATGGCTGCATGAGAATCTCATGCAGACACATCCTAGTCTCTGTGAGTTTATTTTCTGCTCTAAAAGGCAAGTGCTGACCAGAACCACTGGAGACAGAAAAGCTGGGCAAACACTGCAGCACTTCACTAGAGACCATGGTACCTGCATTGCACAGAACACAGCTAAGAAAGAAGTACTCTATTAATGTCCCCTGTAGGCAGCATGGGAGGAGAGACAGCAGAGTACATGAAGGTCAAGTGCCTTTTGAACTTCATTGGCGTGTTTAACACCATCAGAACTAGTCCATAAAAGTAGTCAAAAAGTACCAAGTAATCAATCACCTCAGTTGTACACACCACTGCTATGATAAGTGACGCTTAATTGCCCATTTTATTCAATTCCACAGTGTTCAATTTTTTTTTTTTTTTTTTGTGAAAGACTGCTGGCAGAGTGAGAGACACAAAGTTAAAAGGCTGAGAGATTTGCTGTTTGTTGTGTTATCCATTGCAAAATAGAAAAGCGGTAGTAGATTTTCCTCCCAACTAGGTATGGACATTAAAAAGTTTCCACTTAGAAACAAGACATGGGTTGTTTCTGTACCATCTCCAGGGCTGCCAATCCCTCACCTTCCTGATTGCCTGTATGTCATTCCAGTTAAGGACAAACTGGGACCCAGTACTTTGGGTCCTAAAGTACTTTGTGCCTGTGTGTGTCATGGTAACACATCTGTCCTGACCTGGGTCTCTGACTCTACCTATGGATCTTTTCCCAGAAGAGCAGGCTGGGGCTGCTGCATCTGGCTTCCTGCAATGTACTGTCACCAAGGTGATGTGGGACAAGACAAAGCAACAGCCACGTTTCCTTTAGTGTTTCATGGCCAGCAGAAGATAGTAATCAATCAGGAAAAGTTCACCCTGCTGTCACTCTTGATCACATAGCTCTTCTTGATCACAGAGCTAACTATAGCAATCTGTTGCTGTAACATTATTTCTTTACTGACTTAGCTTAGTGATTGAAGTCCCTCTGTAGCAAACTGTTTAAGACACCAAAGCACAGGTTGGTACCAGGTTGGGCTGCTGTCCCCTCAGTGTCCCACTCAAGGAGATTCCCTGAGAGCTCATCTGAGGTGAACAGCTGGCTATTGGCAGCACAGCTGGTGTGAGGGAAGGGGGCTAGGAAGCAGTTGCAGCAGCATCTCCACTGCCAAAGAGTGAGGGGCAGCTGGAAGGGAGCTGGTGGAAGCCAACTCATAGCCAAATGTCCTCCAGACGTGGCACATCCGAAATGATGGCCCCTGGCTGCTACTTCTCTCAGTGCAGCCTGGCAGAGGGTGGGGGTGCCCATTGCTAGTGCCAGGGGGTCACAGTACCTCCCATTTCTTTGGGGGATGGGTGAAACTGGAAAGCAGTGCCCTGTGTAGGAGGAAAAATACAATAGTAGCTTTTGATCAGCTTTAATTTTTGCCACCTACGAAATGACTTTTCTAATGCAACAGTCCAGCTGTTTTAGCATTCCTAAAAGTTTTCATCCCCTGGCAGTGTTGAAGTCAGTAGGCTACTCTGCTTTTCACAACAAGAAAGCCAATGGTTGTCACAGTACCAGAGGCAAGAGAGTTATCAGGGGAGAATCCTTGGGGTTGATAGGGAGAATAAGACACTTTATCAAGCTGCAGGAGGTTTCCTCCTCATGCATCCCGCAAGTTCCATGGCAGAAACCTGCCTGCTCCAGACCAGGTGCCCATTTCCAGACATAGAGCTCTTTGTGAAGGTGAGTGTTGTAAAGCAATCCAATGTCAATGTTTCTTTATGGAGAACTTCATTTGATAGTGTTGAGGAAGGTGAAAGAGCAAGCAGAACTGGTTTCATTAATGTGTGTTGTTTGGTTATAAGGTCTGCAAACTTGGATGAACTAACCTGTTAACTAAGCAGATGCTACACCTGGTTTTTTTTTACTTCTGAACCCTTACATTTAATCTAAGTTTTAAAACTGCACTTTAGGAGAATCATAGGAAGGGCTTAAGAATTAGACCTCTGATCATTTCTAACTACATCGTGTGAAGTCTAACTTAACCAATAGCAACTATGCAAGACTCTGTGCCTCATTTTAACAAAGTGCAATACAAAGTATATTGTATTGCACAGAACAGTGCTTCTGTGGCTACGTGTATGATGAGTTGCACCTCTTGAGCATTACACTGATTTGTTTATGAAAACAAAAATGAAAGACCATCATTACAAGGGCACACAGAAAGAGAGCTTACGTGACTTGGATACAGCCATGCCTCTGTCTTAAAGTGGTATCCTTGGGTCTTTAATGAGGAGGGATTAGCCAGGGGGATGCAGCACTTGTGCTTCGTTAGTCCTCAGTTCAACAAAGCACGGAGATGAGTGGATTCAGCGGGAGCAAGGCTACCATTGAACCTCCCTCCTTCTCTAAGGCCCCCACAGTTGTTCAGTTTGAAATTCTTATTTGATTTATCTTGTTTATTCCCTTAAGTACTCCAGGCATTACATCTCAATTATGCTGGTAAATCTCTATTTGTTCCCTGTGATCATAACCTTATTTAACTTGTTTTAATCTTGCAGTGACTTAGGTAGATTTATGTCCACATAGACAAATGAGGTGGATACTATTTCCTTTGGAAGGACTGCTGTGATTTCAATTTTGTTTTCTGACTTACGGCAATATTCATTATGTGTTTTAATGAAAAACTATGTCCCCCAGATGACATGATTCTTTATCATATCTATGTGCATGTTTGGAGAAGGATATAAATAAACTTTGCATGAAAATATGTATTAGTAGAGATGAGTAGCATGCTACATGTACTCATTGAAGATCTGGTGTTTCTGCTTTGCTACTGCACCTGCTGTCAAAATTTGCTACTTTCATAGATGTATGTAAACCTTTTTTTTCTAATTGTAGGCTGGCAGTGATGGGGAAAGTATTGGAAATTGCCCATTCTCTCAGCGTCTCTTTATGATTCTGTGGCTAAAAGGTGTCATATTTAATGTCACAACCGTGGATTTGAAAAGGTGAGATTGTAACCACAGTTCTCTTCAGACCAACTTTTCCAAAATGGTGACTTTTAAGGGTGACTCTCTTCAGACAGACTTGAAATGCACACCGTGGCTTGGCATTATGTGGATTGGCATTATCTGGATGCCCGATTCCTCTTTCGGCTTCACTAGTGTAAAGTGGACTAACTCGGAAACAGTGGAGATTCCTATCTGCTTTGCAGTAGGTCTCTGTAACGTAACACGGAAGTTTCAGGGTTTTTTTTAAGCATTTCAGAGCACATTCAGATACAGGCTAGTGATTTTTCATACCACCAGTTGTGAGGTGGCTAACTTAAGTTTTACTTTGTAAGAAAGATGTAGAGCAGTTTGCTATTTTAAATGTGAAACAGTTTGTTGCAATGAAGTGTAGAAACTAGAAGTGTGGCTCCTGTTGTGATTAACCCCATCTCTTTCCTCCCATTAGAAAGCCTGCTGACCTGCAGAACCTTGCCCCAGGAACAAACCCGCCCTTCATGACATTTGATGGTGAAGTGAAAACCGATGTCAATAAGATTGAGGAGTTCTTGGAAGAAAAATTAGCACCGCCCCGGTACTGTGTTCCTGGCCACTCCTCTTGCTTTTAGCCCCCCACAACCCTTCACCAAACCCCCTCAGTTTCTGTGGGTCAGACCCTTGATGAGCTGCACGAGTCATAACTGCATGTGGGAGGCTTGGGGGGTGAGTGGGGGGCTGGTCTGGCTGCAGTGGTGGAGCTTGCAGGAAGGGGTAACTAGTGTGAAATAGTGCTGAAGCCTGGCACCGTGCATGGGGTGGCCCTGGTGTGGCCCCGAGACACTGGCTGCACTCCCCACTGCCGTCACCTTTGCCCTGAGCTCAGTGCTGTGCCACCACAGTCATGGCCAAGGCACAAAATGCACCCTGCTGCAGCAGGCATGTGCAGAAACCTGCGTGCCACTGCACAGACCTCGCTGGTTTTCCTCCACTCGTGTTTGTTTGAGGTTTCCATCTTCACACTGTACAAATAATTATGCTTACTGGGAGCAGGTAGTTGGAAGAAAATGGCAGTGAAGGCCTCCTGCACAGGACGCTTGCTGGGGCTCATTTTGAGTGGCCAGGTGGGCCCATCTTAAGACACAACAGGGTCTAGGTTTTGGACCTGTCCTTCCCTACCCCACCAACTCTTCCCACCTCGCCCCAAACCCTGCTGTCCCACCATCAGCAGTGTCACGTCCCCACCCACATACCTTCTCTACCCCAGGAGGGCAGCCCCCTCTGCAAACCTCCCTTCTCAAGCAGCTGAACCTGACTTACACTAGGTTAGCAGCTGCTCTCCTCCACTTTTCCCTTCCTACCTGCCCCTGGCAACAGCAGCTGCTGGACTGGCTGCTCTGAGCTTGCTCACACACAGTCCAGGTGAGGAGGCTGGTGGAACTTTCCTTCCACAGGCAGCAGCTAGTGGGAGGACTTTCCCTCCACCTCATTGTCACCTCCCTCCGCGCTCCACGCAGCCTCACCTCCAGTGGAGGAGGACTGGCAGAGGCATTGGGCTGTTTGGGAAGTGTTTGCAGTGTGAACAGTCGTTGTCTGTCTCCCTCAGAAAAAGGAGGTCATCCACATGGTTTAACTATGGTTTGAATTTGCACTTGCTAAGTGATTTTTATTTCAGGATGGTTCCCTTTGAGAGCCCTGTGTAGCCATATATTGTGACTCTGCAGTGCAAAAAATGTATATTAAATAATTAGTGGAGATGAAAATAAAGGCTAGTCATATAACTTCTTTTTGTTTCTTTTAACTCCTCAGGTATCCTAAACTTGCACCAAACCACCCCGAGTCTAATTCTGCAGGAAATGATGTGTTTGCAAAATTCTCTGCATTCATAAAGAACCCAAGAAAAGATGCTAATGAAAGTATGTGCTGTAGTCCTTTCATCATTTGTGACTTAGGTTAAATGGTGATTTTCCAGAGCATAAAGGCTGTGGAAATCTGCACCTATTCACTCTTATGTGAGGATTCTCAAAATTAGTTTATGCAGGTACTACTGTCAGCCTGGAAGCCCCCACTTACCTCCTCCTCATTTCTTCAGCTCTCAAGCCCATCACACTGCATCTTCCCAACAGCTCTGCTGAAAGTGCAGCAGTTTCTGCTCCATTTCTGTAAACAATGAAGGCTCTAGCCCCATGGCACATCTCCCTAGAGCAGGACCCTCACTACCACCATGCATTAACTCAGCCCTCAGCCATGTTCCCTTTGCTCTTCCCTTCTCCCCTCTCCGCAGTGGGACATGGGCACCACCAGCCCACTAAAACCCCAGCCAGCTTTTGCCAGCCCATGCTGCCCTGACCCTACTCCTGGGCGTCCAGCTGAAAGCACAGGACTTGTGGGCTGGTTTCCCATACAGCCCAAAGCAGCGTCCCCTTGGCTTGCTGTCGTGGCTCCCTGCCTTGCTCTCCTGCCTGTGTGCAGGCATTTGCCCTGTGGCTCCCGAAGTAAGTCATTGTGAAGGCAGATCCCCTCTTCAGGGCTGCTCTGCAAAAGCACACTGCAGAGGTGTTTGAGGAGCCATTTCTGGTAACACAGCCCCAGTCTGGTTTTTCTCAGAACCCCCTTTAGCTACTTAGAGCTCTTATCCCAGCATTAAGTTTTAAGCTTGGGATAAAGGAATTGCAGGAGTTGGCATGGCCGAGTGTCTGCAAGCTGGGTTGGTGCCAGGAGACAGGATGCAGGAGTCACCTTTTGCCTGGTGTCAGAGAGACCTTGGTACAGGCTTGAATGACCTTTTTATTGTCTTAACCTAGATTTGGAAAAATCTTTGCTTAAAGCTCTGAGGAAGCTGGACAACTACTTAAATAGCCCCTTGCCTGATGAAATTGATGCTTACAGCACCGAGGAGATCACTGTTTCCAGCCGGAAATTCCTGGATGGAGATGAGCTCACCTTAGCGGATTGCAACCTCCTACCAAAGCTCCATATAATCAAGGTTTGCATTTACTTTTTAGCTTCCTGAAGAGAAGGGCAGCGCAGAGGCTGAAGTCCTTTTCTAAAAGGCAGAGGAATCCTTTATCTATTCTGAGGCCACACAGTCGCTGTGCAGGGACACTGACTACTAATGCACAAGGCCATTTCATTACAGCACATCTAGGCAGGTCCTCACACTGATGACTCTGGAGCTAGAATATCTGGTTTCATATTTGGGCTGTGACTGCACTCGCCACGCCTCCCACCAGTATGAAATGAGTGCCATATTCAGTGCTATAGAGAATTGTTATAATATGCGTTTTGTATGCAAAGCACATGAGAAGATGGACCGGTAAGACTAAATTATTTTGTCCATGCCAATTCAAGAAGCCGGGAAAAGCTGAAATTTGAACCTGCCTCTCGCACCTTTAATCCAAACCTCTTCCTTTGCTGGATATCACCACCAGTACTGATAAGTCTGGCAAAGCAGCCACTACCCACTGCCTTCCGGTCAAGGCTCCCAGCCTCTTCTTGCAAGGCTGGGGAGCATCCACGCACACATAACAGTCCTGGTGACTGAGATGTCTGGGTGTCATCACAGCCTGTCCCCGGGCTACTCTGGAGCCAAACAGGCTCTGGAAGAGAAATGGACACACTGGAAATGAATTTGTTTTCAAATAAACAAGGTCCCTTCAGAAAGTTTCCTTTCTGGCCACTATTTTGTCAGAGGAAGAGGATTGAATTGCTTTTTCTCCACAAGTGAAAACTTTCCTCAGAGGTGTCCTGGTTGAACCTATCCTGGAGAGCAGCAGGGGAAGGAGCCCATGCCCACGCCCATGCCCAGCTCAGGCACAGCAAAGCTCAAGAGGTAGCAAGGGCCAACAAAGCCAACACAGGGAGAATCACCTTATGTCAGGTGAATGTCTGAAGGATGATGGAGGATGAACATCCCATTATCCTTGCTAGCCAGCAGGGAAGCATTAGGTATTGGCCCTTAGTTGTTTTTGCTAGCCATTTGAAATTTAGTATTTTAATTAAATTCTTCCTTTCTGTTTCAGCAAAAGTATCCAAGTATGGGCCAGTTTATTTCTGTAAGATTATTCTGTTAATTCTGGTTTATGCTCGTTCCTTTGCTGGTTTAAGCTGTATCTGTTCCAGGTATAGTCTACTGGTCCACATAGCTCTGCATAGCTCTAGAAGAATATTTATCCCAGATAAATCCTCTTAAGTGAGTTAGCTTGTTAGCTAGCTTTCTTCATCCCATGTCTTCTCTTTTTCTTGTTTTTCCCTGTCCTTTCCCCTTACGTTGCATATGAGAGACTTACACATTGAAAATTAAGGACGTGCATAAAGAATACATTTGGGTTTTTTTTTCCAGATCATGTGTGTAATGATATTTCTCTTCTTTCTTTCAATGAAAGGTTGTTGCAAAAAAATATAGAAATTTTGATTTTCCACCTGAAATGACAGGGATTTCAAGATACTTGAACAATGCATATGCAAGAGATGAATTCACAAACACTTGTCCTGCTGATCAAGAAATTGAGTATGCTTATTTGGATGTTGCAAAGAGAATGAAATAACCAGAAGATGCCTCCATTCTTTCTTGCTTCTGAGATTTAGATGGAAAAAGAGCCAAGATGGAAAAAAAGAAAAACCCAGCGTACATTTTGCAGTGTAATTTGAATTTCTGCTATTGGCCAATCCTTCTTTTATAATGATTGTAGCATTATTTGCTCATTCTTAAATTATGTATATGTACGTTTGTGTGTCTGTACGGATGCCTGCACACATGAATGTCTGTTGTGCATTCCAAGTTAGAGGGATCAGTCAATATTGAAGCATTCTCCGAAGTTAGGGAAACAGTGTAGGTCACACAATTATAGCAATATTACAGACTAGTGACTTATGATAAATTTCTGAATTTTGAGAAGAAATAGCCCTGTTTCTAACACACATTCAAGCTGTCATTATTGCTGCCTCTGATCTCTGTTTCACAGTTGTTGCCAAACTTCACAGTTACTGTGAGGGTTTCTGTCTGCTTCTCTGCAAGCCTTGCAGGGCCATAAGCCAGCAGCTGGTGCCCATGCAGCACCCTGGTTAACCTGGGAGAGAGGCCAGCCTGTAGGTGGGACCACACCTTACATCCCAGAAGCCCTCTCCTCTGTGCTAGAGACCTGCAGGGCAGGTCAGTGAAGAACAACTCCTTTTCACAGTGTGTGAGTTTTCTTTCATATTAAAAAATGAATACATACATTAAAGTTCCTGCATTCTCCTTCTCAGGGATGCATAACCCATCAAACTTCCCTCCTAATGTTCCCAAATTGAGGAACACAGCCTGTTGCTGGCCTATAGACTATCTGATAATAGTTATTTGACAAGGGAGGGGGAGACTTGGTTGTCAGTGTAGACAGAAGAAATGGGTAAACTTATCTCCTCAGCTACTGATGTAGGATTTCTTTGTCATCCTCCCATGACTCTCATTTGGTTTTTGAAAGCAAAGTGGAGGAGACACTCTAACAAAGAAACAGTCCTTCTATACTTCTTTTTCTGAGTTGAGGTCCAGCATATTGGCTTTCCCAGGGCAGCTGTTAGGACTTCATGGCTGAGAGCTTTAAAGCTGATCAGACAGGTATCTATCAGGAACAACCTGACAGACCTACGTCCTGCCTTAGGCAGGGGATGGATTAAATGAATCCCTCCAGCCTTGCATGAGCCTGTGTTCAAGGCAGTCAGTACTGGTGAGAAACACCAGGCATGAGGAAGTGCACTATTAGAGATGTATGGAGTGTGAAAAGTCCTGTCCACAGCTGCTCTCTGCTGAGCAGGCCCTCAGCAAGCACACAGGAGTAGCGGGTGCAATGCTTTAGTCATAGGGTCACCTGGAAGCTTCTTCTGATGGATTTTGCCTGTGTGTACAAAAGAGATGTGAAAATGGCTAAAAACAGCCTTTACAGCACTTATATCCACAAAAAGACTCTTACAGACTAGTCATTCGTCCTTGCCCATGTCAAATATATGCTTGCTTTCTAACAAAGCATTAGTTGAAGGTAGTAGTGTCAGATATATTGTGGCTGCAGTGTCTTCATCTTACACACTACACAGCTCTGATGCAAATGTGCTATCATCACAGTTATTTGTAAACGATGTTAAGTGTGCAGTTTTAGTTTGCCTTTAGAGAACAGTCACAATGCCTTTCCCTTCCCACACTCTCAACTGTGGAGTCTTGTTTTGGGTTGATAGCTGAGCAGTCACCCTTCCTACACTACTAACGATTACTTTGTGTTTTCAAATGCATACATATATATATAAAATATATTACAAAATGAAATCTGTATACTCTTTTCTTATGCCTTACAAATTTAAATAGAAACTATACAAATTCATAAGTAATTTGAACAGTGTTCTGTCTTTATTTCCGTAGTAACTTCCCGGTAAGCTGTATTGCAACAGTGGTCTAGATTTTAAGGAATATAATGCAAAATTTAACCCAAATTTCATCTGTTTTGGAGGAATCATGTATATCACAGTTACCTGCAGTGAGATCTTGGGAACAATACATCCTGGCTGTGCTCATTACTGATGAATAAAGACCAAAGGGCCAGCATGTAATCCTTGACCACTGAAGTGTCTAGCACAAACTGTCCCACATCCACGCTGGTTTGGGGCTGGCCACATTTGTAACTCTTTGGTCTTGGGGAAATCCACTTGGGATCATCCAAAACAGCCAGGGACTGCCCACATCACTTGGCAGCTCTTGCAGCAATTAAAATGCGTGAGGCAGCTCCTGGTCCTCTTAGTTCTTACCATAAATACAGTTACGGCTGTTATCAATCAGTAACAGAGAGCCTAGGCCATTCTCTGGCCCCGACAGCAGGTAGCAATTTGTGGTTCACATCCATACAGCTCTTTTCTGCCTCCTGGAAACAGGGTGGCCATCCTGGTTATGAGGAACAGTACCTGTCTCCAAATCATGACTGGATGTTGATGAGAGCGATGCTTTTTGGCACAGGCCAGTGTACTGTGACAGAAATCTTGAGGGCGGTGAACATGATTGAAAATGTGCGTGCAAAAGCATTAGATGAAACAAAAACAAGGGTTAAAGAAATAAAAAGGTTACTTGCTACAGGGCACTGCAGAATTAAATTCATTCAAAGACCTGACAGCAAGTGGGCAAAGAACTGAAGCCTCAAGCTAAGGTAAACAGATGAGGAGGGACAGGAGAGGTACCATAAAACATCCTGATAAAGAAAACAACAAGAAGCAGGAATCTTGCCTTTCACTTAAAAATCCTGACATCCCTAGGGGGTATAAAAGGAACATCCAGAAAAGAGTTTGTTTTTAGGAGCTAAGAACACAGGAGCTGTGCCAGGCCCTGACAACTGGTGTCGCCTCACAGACTGGCTGGTTGAGTGCCTGGGTGCAGATGACCCAGGGGACACTGAAAGCGTGTGAAATAAGTGTCATTTAGAATAAGTACTACCCTTTTATTCCATAAGGTCCCACACTGTCCCCTGGACCCACATTAACAACCAGCCCGTGGTTTCGCCCTGCCTGCTCTCCAAACCCAAACTCAGCACCTGCAGCTGTGGCTGTGGCTGGCTGCACCTGGTGTGCCCAGGCTCAGCAGCAGCCCATCACCATTCATCCTTACTGAGAAGGAGTCACAAGACAAGAGCCACATCTGCCTGAAATAACACACTGGTTTGTTTTATGAGCATGTTTACAGACACTGCAAAACTTCCTTTTGCCTCCAGACCACCCATTTAACCTCCCCTGCCCTGTCCTTTTTCTAATGCTTCATCAGAATCACGTCTGCACATCCAGTACTGTCAAATGAAGAGAAAAATAAGACTAAGACACTCAGCAGAGGAGGTTTTTTCCTTAAAATCTGACATTGCTTGAAAGGATATTTGACTAAAAGCTTGTGCCCACTAATAGTTTTGAAACCTGATGTTTTGTGGTTTCCTTCCTTCTTTTACTCACACAAAGGAAGTTGATGGCTCCAACCCTCCACAATGGATTTTTAGGTGCACATGATGCTATCTAAACCAGTACATTATGGTTGGTGTTTGCATATTTCCGGCAACACAAGGAGGATATTTGGGTAGAGAAGTCACAGAAATGACCCAAAGTATCAGAAAACTGCAGTCACTTCATTTGTCCTGGTATGGGGTGAGCTACAGAGTCCACACAATCCCACAGTAAATGAATCTGTATCTTCCAAAAACTTTGAGTGTCTCAGTCTGGCCCTTCTTAAAACACATTATTTAAAGAAAATACCTTCGTCCACATTTGAATTATTCTATTTTTGAATGACCATTGAAAGATTTTTTTTAAGCAACTTACTGGAGAACAAATGAGATGCAAGTGACTGTGTTAACAGTATCACCAGCTGTCTGAGTGGCCTGGACATGCAACGAGATGTAATATCTAGACACAGATTTGTAGTTCTTGAACCTATGCCAGGACAGAGATCATGTTCCATTATTTAAAGGCATGTTTGTGGAGATAGAGCTACTGCTTTCCAAATGCTTATTAGCACAACTAGTCATCTGTGTGGTGCTACTTTTTTTAAGAAAAAATGGTTTTATCATAATTTTAAACAGTTTTGTACATGTCCCTTTTAAACACCTATTATATGCAAAGCAAATATGGTCAGTTACTTCATGAATTGCTCTTCAGCCACTCGTGCAGAAAACTCTTCAAAGTATGAAGCTTTCTTTCTCAGCTTCAGTATCTTAGTCTTCAGCACGAGCTGTCAACTCGAAGGTTAAACACTATTTGTGCTCAGTGCAGTATTTCCAAAGCAAGCTGAAGTAAAAACAAACGCAGGGTAATTAACCATAACATTTTCCTCAACGCATTTTTTAAATAGCTTCAAAGCAATGAAAAGCTAAACCTCATGAAAGCAAGTTAGTATTCCTCATCCATATCAACATGCTATTTATTTGAGTATAAGCAAATACCTGAACTTCCCAAGCCCCTTAAAACTTGTTGAAGTTTAGTGTAAAAGCCATTTTTCCCCTAAGTTAATAGGAAGGTTATTTCTAAGCTGTCAGAACCAACAGCTATCAGAATCATCTGCTGAAGTGTGGCATCATTGAAAGTTCAAGTGAATAGAAACAATCCACAGCATAGTAGAGCCTTGACTAGGTTAGCAAACATTCCTCTCAACCAGCCACTCCAAGTGCTGATGTTGCCCAATCACTGCCAGCCCTCCATGGACACTTAAAAGCTACTTAAATTTTCTTAGTGATTCTGTGCACACTCACTGTGACTATACTGACCATGCATAGGAGCTCTGCCCTACACACTGAATTTCCTGGTGAGAGATCCTGAGCACCTGCCAGGGCTGGGAGAGCAGAGCTTTGCCACAAGGCAGCCTTAGCTGGCATTATATCCCTGAACTCCTCTTACTTGTCGCATGTGACAAAGAGCCAAAGGCAGGCCCTCCTCGTGAGCAATGGGGTGAAGCAGGCTGTTTGCAAATGCATGGCTCAGACTAGCATTCAGTTTTCCTTCCCTAGCAAACTGGAAAGAATTGAAGGAGCAAGGGTTTTTTTCCAGATCCTCGTCTAAATTGGGCTCCTGTTGATTAAGATGTTTTTATTGATGAGCAGAATGCAAACAGAAAAATCTCTTCTGGAAATCAACTAAGGGAAACAAGAGTCTAGTTTCAAAATTTGAGAATTGTTCAACTTTTTTATTAAATCAAACCAATGAACTGAAATAAAAATAAATGTTCCTTTTCAAAAAAACTGAGAGCATATGTTTTTCTTTGGTTTCTTCCTTGTATCTTTCCCTTCCCTTTTATTTTAGTTTTCCAGTGATGACAGGGCAAAG